GATGAATGTTATGTTTGTCCTATAAAATTTGCTTGTAAGTGTGATTTATTAAGACAATTTTGTTCATTTGGAAAAAGCCATATGAATTTGATGTTAATCCTAAATGATTTACTCAGAATAGTTTACACATAAAAAAACTTTTTTTCCGGCCATAAATGGTTTTTTCAACTTTTTCAATTAAGTGTACATGAAAAAGTTCATTTATGAGACAAGCTATATGAAAGTGGTATATGTCATTAAAGGTTTTCTAGAAGTTGTAGTCTAAATGATGTTTTACACAAATGATTTTCTCAAATTTAAATACTCTAAAAAAATTCATTCTATATGTAAGACAGAGGAATGTTTTCTTTTAAATATTTTCTTTTAAATTTACTTTATATAGTCAAAGAAATTCATCATGACTTTAAACCAATTTAAAGTCATTTTTTAACATAAACAATTAATATCTATAGTAAATTATTATTATTAAATTACTTATGATTTTTCTCTACACATGACTTCTAATAGTGGGCCATAGTTAATAAATATTTATATTATAAAAAGGTTCTTTTGTCAAAGAGTATACCACATCAATTATTATACATACTCTAAAAAGAAATTGTATTCTGACTGTAAAAGGAAATAGCATCCTATTGTCAGCTGCATGTGTACATTTTTTTTCTTTAAGTATCCTACTTCTTTTTGTGTTATTTGTAAATATGTATGATAGGAGAAGTAAGCTATTACTTTAGGGACCCAGGGTTTTATTTTTATACCAGCATGGTCTTGTTCAGGCAACACAGTTAGTTTGCCTGTTTCAGATTATTTAAAATTGACAATGCACATTCATTGGGACAAGGGAGTTTACCAATTCTGATGAAACCAATTACACATTAACAATAACAGAAGCTAACTAAAATAAAACACGATGTTCAATTTCAATGTATTATTTACATTTACTAGATGTTTACAATATAAGTACTGTAACACAATTCTCATTCATAACTTTACACATTTACACTATTCACAAACAGCTCAGTCAGACATACAGCAACATGACAGAATATCAGGTTGACAGGTAAAACAACCTGCATTAGACAAGTACTATGACATCAGGCCAGCAGTCACAGTGGCATTTGGCCAACAGGTACAATGACATCGAAACTGAGCAGACAAAATTTTTTTTTTGTAAAAAAATTTTCATCCTTAGCTAAATGCCGTTATTTAATCATTATATTGAGAGGTATAGAATCTCAAATCATATGATCAGACTATACTGTCTGCAATGTGTAACTCAAATAGACCATATGTAAAAACTTCCCCTCCATCCCCACTATTTACATGTCTTATGGAACTAACCCTAAGTTTCATGTTGCTCCAACCATTGCTAAGGCTTATGGTCACTTCCTTACTTTTGCTAAATGTTTTATTTTATTAAATTAAATGCATTTGTAACATGTTATATATAGATTTTATCTTTCTTTACACCTCAAGTCAATATGAACTTTATGCCAAATCTCATACTCCTCTCTGCATTCAATGTGATTGAAAAGAGTATAAAATAATTTTCTTCGCATATTCATTTAGGCTATGCAATTTAAAGATTAACCACAGCATAAAAATTTGAAGAAAAGAAAGACTTAAGCTGCAATTGTTACATATTGGTATCTTAGTTTAAACGTAATGTAATTTTTGGCTAGTTATTATTTAATTTTGTATTCCTTACTATTAAAAAATAGCCTTGTAATCTAAATTCTAAAGTAGTGAATTATTACAAATTGTAGCATGAAAATTTAAAGAAATAAAATGGCTAAAGTGTGTGTCAAGTTTTATTATTATTGTTTTTCTAACAATACTTCCTGTATGTATAAATTCCAATGAGACCAATGTGTTTTGAATGCTGGGGTGTATTTTACTCTCTTGTGATGCTCCAAAGCCTGTACCTGCAAGTTAGGTAAGGTCAGTGTCAGACAATATTTGTTTGTTAGTGTGAGAGGGTGAATGGATGATTTATTTTGTATTATTTTATTGTGTGCCAACCTGCGTGCACGGTCCACTGGACAGCGGCTACAGGTTTTCCCGTTCCGCACTGTAGGGCTTCTCAGCTGACGAGACATTGGTTATCCTACAATTAAGGGGGGGGAGCAGAGGCGTAGCGACCCTTCCCGGCGCCCGGGGACATACTTTCAATTTGGCGCCCCCCTCGGGAGCAAATTTTCGATTTGCACCCCTCCTCGAACTTTTCATTTGCACCCCCCCCCCACTCAAACTTTCGATTTGCACCCCCCCCCCCCTCGAACTTTTCATTTGCACCCCCCCCCCCCTCCCCTCAAACTTTCGATTTGCACCCCCCCCCCTCGAACTTTTCATTTGCACCCCCCCCTCAAACTTTCAATTTGGCGCCCCCCCTAAGGTCGGCGCCCGGGGACATATGTCCCCCCCCCCCGCCCCCCCCCCCTCGCTACGCCTCTGGGGGAGAGGGTCGCACATAAATGACGTCACATGCAGTGAGAGAAGTGTTAGGGATTTTGTAATCATGTATGATGAAGTGGAAGCAGATAATGTGATTTGACGTCAAATTAAAGAAATCATAGGCAATACTGATTTCTTTATGTAACAAAGTCGAGATCGATTGGTTTATTTATCCGTTGTGGTGTTATCCTCCCCCCCCCCCCCCCCATCCTCCCTCCTCACCCACTCTCTCTTATAATAATATGCACTTAAAGTGTATATTACTGCAATTTGTATAGATGTAGGTGAAAAGAAAAAGCATCATTCAGTGGATATAGGTAGTACATTTTCTTCTTTGTGACAGCCACCTTTGTTATGTCATGTAACTATCTTGAGAATACTAAACAAAAAGAAGCCATGATAACATAGATTTCGTAAAAAGATAAAAAAAAATACTGATGTTTCTCAATAATTATTTAATTCAAATCATTCTTTCCTGTCATTTCATTTGAGTATATCAAGCTTCCGAAAGAGCCGTTAAAATTTGCACGAGCCGACCAGTGAAGGTCGTCTGTGCGGGGTATTGGGAATAGTTTTCAACTAGCAATAACCACGCCTCGGTAAAACCTCATTGGCTATGATACCGCCACTGCGCAAGGCTGACTTATAAGGTACAAAATATACACCCAGCGTAAAATTTTCTGTCGGATCAATCTGGTTCTTTCAGCTTAAATAAAACTAAATTTAAAATTATGCTCGCATTTAATAAAAAGAATTTTATAATAATTGAATCAAGCGTGTTCAATGATGATTTAATATAATAACAATTTTGTGATTTACGAGTTTATTATTTTCTAAGCAGATTTATCAAGTTAATAAGGTAAAATCAGTATTAAAAAAGCATACAAGGGGAGTAGCAAAAAATTATACTAAGTTATGTCCCTTGATTTAAAATGTAGCGCACTACAACAGGCTCATTGCAAACACGTGACCTAAATTTTTAAATTACTGTGTCGGTTAAATGTTTAGTCATTGTAAAAGTAGTCCGATTTGATTTTTAAACACGTGACCTAAATTTTTAAATTACTGTGTCGGTTAAATGTTTAGTCATTGTAAAGTAGTCCGATTTGATTTTTAAATTACTCTGCTCTTTAAAACAGAAACTGTATTTATGATAGTTTACTTGAGACAGTTGTAGGTTAAATCCAAGTAGAAATATATCAATTGAATTACTTTGTGTTTCATTTAAATTTAAAGCACTATTGAAATAGTGTTAATGCATCAGATTCACAACTGGTAAAGAGTTTAAATTTGAACGATGGATACCGTATTACTTCCAAATAGACCATGTGTCTACACACATGACTGCATAAAACACATCTGTAAATTTAATGCTGCTGATATTGGTCATCCATAAATGACGTCACGCTTTTTGACTATTTTTAGCTGCCCTCTACCCTCCGTCACACATCGTCACAAAAAGCATGACCCACCTCCCCCTAAATTGACGTCACAATTGAGCTTACAACGCACCTCAATTTTAATTTGTTAAGGAAAAAAATCGACATAAAACAGGAGTAAAGCCCATTGAGAAAGGATTAGGAGCGCGCTAGTTTCGTTTCGGCAGCTCCTGCGACACTGCTGATTCCAAGCTGTACAAGCAGGCTCTGTCTCTTTGGTCAATCAGCTGCAGTGGCTTAGGCAGGGGGGATTAGGGGGTTATAACCCCCCATAGACCCCTCGGTATATATAAAGTAGGAGGGGGGGATGCAAATCAAAAGTCTGAGGGGGGGGGGGTGTGCAAATCGACAGTTTGTCCCCGGGTAAAAATTGGACCCCCCCCCCCCCCCCTTGAGACGATCCTGGCTACGCCACAGCCGATGCATGCCAACATCTGGCTCTTCTCACTTAGGGCTCAGACTTTGTGCTTGGATTCCCATCGCGCAATCATCTAATGGTCTACTAGACTATGGAGCTATATATAATCATACAAATTTTACAAGCCTTTACCTTCTTACTATATAAATATAGGTTATTAAATTGAAATTTAACAAACCAAATACCAAAGATTGAATTTCTTTTTTTCACAACGTGTAGGTCTAATAACAAATAACATTCCATTAGGTAACATTGTCATGTGAAAATCATTATAATAAATTAATGAATGTAAAATGTTCTGTAATAAACCTATTTTAAGTTGTTTTTTTTAAGTTTAGATTTGAAACCTAGTTAAAAAAAAGGTATTGATCTTTGCTTAATAAATTAACAGTTAAAAGTAAATAATAAACCATCAGGCAATGTGAATAGATAATACATTTATATGCAGAAAATTTACAGTTTGTAAAAGGAAATACTAAATTGGAAAGTAAAATCAATTATAACTAAAGAAATGTTCCTGCTTTTTTCTGCATAACAGAGCAGAGGTCTTTTATGTTTTTTAATGGAGGCGATTTAGTTTATTGTTTAGCAGGAACTTATTGATTAAAAAATCCATCATGTAGCACTCAATAAAAAATAAACTTAGTACAAATGTTTGTATATTATTGACGTGCCATAGTATTACAACACGATCACATGCTGTGCATTTGTTTCTTGTGTTTATTTAAGTTACCAAGCTTATTGCACCTGTACTCATATTGACCACAACAATATGGCTTCTCCCCTGTGTGAGTTATTAAATGCCTAGTTAAAGAAGATTTGCCAATAGCTGCGTAGTCACAGGTATCACATTTAAAAGGTTTTGTGCTGGGGTGTTGTCTTTTCTTATGTTGTGCAAAACTGCTATTTGTATTCGATGTGAAGTCACACTTGTCGCATGTGTAATAGAATTCTCCAGTATGTTTCCTCGTGTGAACTTTAAGACACTTTCTCATTGTGTATGATTTCTCACATATTTCACAGTGGAACGGTCTGAATTTAAAATGTGTTTATATGTGCGTATCATAATCAATGTCATTGTTGTATCCAATGTTACACATGGTGCAAATGTAGCATTTCAGGCGAGTGTGTACTAATTTATGCATGGACAAGTGTTCTGTTGATTTAAACACATAATGACATACATCACACAATTCTGATCCATTTCGGTTTGTTGCTTCAGAGGTTTTTGTGATTAAATGAGTTCTGCAATGGGCTGCAAACATCGTATCTGAAATTGATTTGAAATCACAAAGATCACATGTATACATCTGACGAGAATTATGTGTTCTCATGTGTTTGTTAAGACCATCCCTGCTTGTAAAATATTGTTCACATTTGACACATTTAAAAGGTTTGGGTCTATAATGTGTTTGAATGTGTTTGTCAAATACACTACCACTGCTGAAGATCCTATTACAGTTGCTACAAATGTAACATTGCATTGGCGTGTGCACTACTTGATGAGATGACAAATGGGCCGCTGAAAAACACACATTTTGGCAAACATCACAAACAAATGTCTGACCTGCAGGTTTTTTGGTTCTTTGTTTTGATAATGTTATAACCGGTTCAGCTGTCAATTCAGGCTGGACTAAATTTTCTTTTTCCTCTAGAATCGAACATCTTAGTTCTGAAGGTGAGACAGATTCTCCTGATAATAAGTGCATTTTGATGTGATGCTTTTTTATTTTTCGCCACTTCCTACTTGTGTAAGCGCAATTTTCACATCCCAACCTATCCTCAGCGTGGAAGTTATCCTTATGCTTAGAAAACACAAAAAAAATCCTCCTGAGTGTAAGCCCTGCTAGGGGGGAGGGGATCACAAAAATCTATCTACCCTTCCCTGGCTTATCTATTACTGTCCGGTCAGTGCAAGCCCGGCTAAACCCAGACTGGTTAATACCTTAACCTTTTTCTAAATTAAAACCAAAAAAACTTTTAACAATTAATCAAATTTATTTTACACATGGCACCGATGATAAAATCAAATAAAATAAAGAATAGATAAAAATCTACTGACACAAAACCGAACAATTTACACACTACAAACAGAACATAAAACAGAATGTAACAAAACAATTTATATACAACAAAACACGACGAAGCAAAATTCAACGGGACAAAACACGACTAAACAAAACACAATATATAAAAAACACCTTGAGAAAAAAATAATCCCTACTATTACAATTCTAAAAACAATTCTCAAAAACACAACTAACCACTGTCTAACCAAGAACTAGCAACTTAAAAATAACGTGTAAAACAAATTCATTGTAGAACCAATCTTTCCTACACCAGGAGCAGCCCAAAGCCATTGGTCTACCTATACCACATCCATATTGATAACATTGAAGTTAACACATTCCGCTAAGGCCCCAATGAAGGCAGACACAAAGCAAGTGACTCAACATTACATTGCACGAAACAGCACACACATTAATTTTAAGCAACCTAAAAGTCGAGGCAAACTAAAATACTCATTACTGTCTAACACAACCGACTATTGACTAAGCCAATCTTAGTCATCGTGGGGGAACCCACAATAACACATCTTATCAATGTAAAACAATCAAGTATATTCACACACGCATTCACACCAGTTTAGGAAACCCTCCTAAACATAACGACCTAAACCACGTGGTATAAAACACGCCAAGGGTTTAGAAAATACAAAAATACATTTTAAACTAACAAAAAGAATACACCACGTGTGTAACAGACATGCCGATGCCCACTATCTCGTTTTAGACGAAAAAGAAATAAAACGAGAACACATCGGCAGTCGCATTCATACAAATCACATAAAGATACAATATAAAAAAAAAACAAATACCCCCATCAGACGAAGTGCGACCACAGACAACTGACTTGACCTAAATTTTTACTGTCAAAAAGAACGAAATTATCCGAGCGGTCAGCTTTTATACTGACCGCTTCGGGCGGAAGGGGAAACCCCGTAGCCGCTGCCCAGTGGACCATTTACTCACAGATTCGCAAACAATAAAATAATACAAAATAAATCATCCATTCACCCACTCACATATAGTAGCGTTTTCTTTTTTAAAACTTCTGTATATGCAAAATAGATACGTAATAAAAAGTAGAAGTGTCAAAATGTTAGCGATACCCATAACATTTTTATATTGGTTGAATTGTGCAAGATGTAATAATATTTAAACAATATTTAAACAATATTTAAACAATATTTAAACAATAATTAAACAATATTTAAACAATATTTAAACAATATTTAAACAATATTTAAACAATATTTAAACAATATTTAAACAATATTTAAACAATATTTAAACAATAATTAAACAATATTTAAACAATATTTAAACAATATTTAAACAATATTTAAACAATATTTTAACAATATTTTAACAATATTTAAACAATATTTAAACAATATTTAAACAATATGTAAACAATATTTAAACAATATTTAAACAATATTTAAAAAATAGGCCTATTTAAAAAATATTTAAACAATATTTAAACAATATTTAAACAATATTTAAACAATACTTAAACAATATTTAAACAATATTTAAAAATAGTTTAAACAATATTTAAACAATGTTTAAACAATTGTAACACATATGGTTACCAGCCAGGGGAGGGAAAAATATGAAGTTTTAATTCATTGAGTTGCGGCCCCTGTGGGGCCGTGGCCCTGTTAACGTAGTTTTTTTTTTCATGCTCTTGTGAGCGATGTTACCTGTGTCCCATGTCATGTGACATGGGACTGTGGGTAGTTTCGTGCCTAGCCGTGTCAGTCACACGCAAGGCTGCTGTCTGTGGACACGGTGACCAAGATGTAGACCTAATGAAGGTAGAGTTGTTATATAAATTATGTTTGTTAAAATACTTATTTGTGTATTCCTGCTAGTGCTGCATGTGCACACTAGTTAGGGTGAGTATTTATATAAGTATTTATTTGTAGTACTACTTATTGGTACTTGTTGGCAGTACTGTGTACTGGCCGAAACATATTTTATTGTACCCGTGTATATTGTAGCCTACACGTGGTTTTGTCATGAATGTAACTTTTTATTTACATTTGTTTTAGGGCAGTAGCGTACGCAGGGGGGGAGCAGGGGGAGCGGCCGCTCCCCCTCTGGCCATTTTCAGCAAAGTGGCGCCTTTTTTGGAAACTTTTTAAACTCAAAGTTTTAAACAATCATTTTTGTTAAAAAATTATTTTTGGTCGGCACATCTATGTAAATCACAAGATTTCTTTTCATGCAGCAATTAAGCAGAATTGTACTAGTCTAGTAGCGTCTACGTTTACAACACGTATTAACAGCTGTATCAAGTTTGTCATTCTAAAAATAACCATTACGATGCATTGCAATTTTAAAAAACCTCTACGGGTAGTACAACTGGGCAAGAGGGGTGTTAAGTTTAAGGCAACTGTATAATGTATTTGCTTAAGAATAATTGATCTAGAAAATATTATACATAAATCTTCACACATAATTACTTTATATATACAGTTTTAATCGTGTAATTAATTTTAAAAATTACAATACAGACACAAATACAACTGATGTGGCACCTCTATTTAAATTTACTTATGGGAAAACTGCGTAGTGGTGGGGAAAATTTGACAAGGTCAACAACCTCATCACGATGAAGTAGTAGTATTATGACAGTTTGGGCGATAGTGATTACGATTACAAATTAAATGAAACAATTACAACCCCCATCGCCCCATGGACCCCTCTGTAAAAAAAATATTGTCATAATACCACTGCTACTTATTTAAATCTATTTCTGAATCAGTATATATGTGTAATTGAATATGTATCTTTATAACAGTCATCTAAAAACTGACGCTATGTTCACTCTGAGTTGGTTATCCCCCCCCCCCCCCCCCCCCATCCCCCACTCACACCCCACACACACACATACCTCACCACCACAATTGTGTAGAGCGACATTAATGTCACACCTAGGTATACACTGGGTTGGATAATTGACCTAAAGTTACCGGACAGTGGTGAATGAAGTTGACCCCCCCCAACTAATCCCGAAGTGATCTGTTAGTACATTTGGGAAAACGCGTAACGTTTTACCAAAGTACCTTGCCGCCTGAATCATAGCTTTTGAAACAGGTGAAACTCTGTGAATACTGTTTTTGCATTTACCAGTAAAAAGGTGTGTGATCAATACAGTGATCTAACCCATACCCGATCACTATGTTAAAAAATGATGTTTAAAGAACACAAAAAGCAGTAGTTAATTAAAAGATGTATGATCTGAACTAAAAGACCGACATTTTTGTTAAATGTAAATTAAATGTCAGCTGCTATTCAAAATGTTTTTCTATTTTATTTTAAAGCGTGTTTTTATACCAACTCTGATTTTAAAAAGTTTCATTATGCTGTAATACTTTAGCATTTATGATGACGATATATTTAATTCTGATTGTAGACAAAAAAAAATTGTCAACACGAATATTGTTAAACAACTTTATTACATTCTAAAGTAATTATTGATTTGATTTGTTTTGACATTTATAAATAAATATGTAGATATATACATTTTTATATTAAGAGCGGGATTATTTCCCTTATTTCGCTTGTCTAAATTAATGTCCCAGGAATTATTATGTAAATTTTTTTTACAAGAATTACAAAACAGATTGTATTGCGTTTATTGTTTTTGGTTGTAGTGTATATATATATTGTTTAGATTGATACATTTTTTGTTTTGTCGGCCTACATTGTGTTTTTTTTTCTTATTTCTTCAAGTGCTACCTACAATTTATTTTACATCATAGCGAAGTAATGACATACAGCCAGTAATTATATATGTATATATAAATATATATATATATATATTTATATATATGTATTTAATACACGTACATAGAACGTGTTAAAAACTCGGCGCCTTTTTTTGCTCATTTCGCTCCCCCTACAACGAAAACCTGGATACGCCTCTGTTTTAGGGCTACAGTTTTGTTTTCTTGGTTTCTTGTTGCTTCAGTATTTTCTCTTTGAAATTGTCGTACTACTATGTTGCATCGCTGTCATGGCTCGATGCAGTAAATAAAGCGAGTACTTGACAACAACTGTCGGTGTCAGTGTGTTCTAAATCTCAGGGTCAGCCCGTCTTAACCACAACACCTCAGTGGGTAAAAGCATCCCCACTGAGTGAGGGTTACACAATATTTAAACAATGTCTAAACAATATTTAAACAATGTTTAAACAATATTTAAACAATATTTAAACAATATTTAAACAATATTTAAACAATATTTAAACAATATTTAAACAATATTTAAACTATATTTAAACAATATTTAAACAATATTTAAACAATATTTAAACAATATTTAAACAATATTTAAACAATATTTAAACAATATTTAAACAATATTTAAACAATGTTTAAACAATATTTAAACAATATTTAAACAATATTTAAACAATATTTAAACAATATTTAAACAATATTTAAACAGTATTTAAACAATATTTAAACAATATTTAAACAATATTTAAACAATATTTAAACAATATTTAAACAATATTTAAACAATATTTAAACAATATTTAAACAATATTTAAACAATATTTAAACAATATTTAAACAATATTTAAACAATATTTAAACAATATTTAAACAATATTTAAACAATATTTAAAC